CTAGTTTATGTGCATAGAGGTAGTAATAGTGTTCTCTGATGGCTGTTTATACTTCTACGGGGTGAGTGGTGATATCTCTCTTAACGTTTCTGATTGTGTTTATTTGAATCTTCTCTCTTTTCTTCTTTACTAGCCTTGTTAGTGGTCTCCTTTATTAATTTTTTCAAAAACCCAGCTGCTGGACTCATTGATTTTTGAAGAGTTTTTTATGTCTTATCTCCTTCCATTCAGCTCCGATCTTGGTTATTTCTTGTCTTCTGCTACCTTTGGGATTTATTTGCTTTGCTTCTCTAGTTCTTTTAGTTGTGATGTTAGGTTGTTAACTTGAGAAATTTCTGGCTTTCTGATGTGGGCATTTAGTGCTGTACATTTTCCTCTTAGCACTGCTTTAGCAGTGACCCAGAGATTCTGGTATGTGGTATCTTTGTTCTCATTAGTTTCAAAGAACTTTTTGATTTCTGTCTTAATTTCATTATTTACCCAAGAGTCTTTGGGAGCATGTTGTTCAATTTCCATGTAGCTGTGTGGTTTTGAGTGAATGTCTTAATCTTGAGTTTTAATTTGATTGTGCCATTGTCTGAGAGACTGTTATAATTTTAGTGGTTTTTTTTTTTTTTTTTTTTTTTTTTTGCATTTGCTGAGGAGTGTTTTACTTTCCATTATGTGATCAATTTTAGAGTAAGTGCCAAGTGGCGATGAGTATAATATATATTCTGTTGTTTTTGGGTGGAGAGTTGTGTAGCTATCTTTCAGGTCCACTCGATCCAGTGCTGAGTTCAGATCCTGAATATCTTTGTTGATTTTCTGTCTCAATGATCTGTCTAATATTGTCAGTGGAGTGTTAAAGTCTCCCACTATTATTAAAGAGTCTAAATCTCTTTGAAGGTGTCTACAAACTGCCTTTAAGAATCTGGGTGCTTCTGTATTGGGTGCATATATATTACAAATAGTTACCTCTTTTTGTTGAATCGAACCCTTCACCATTATGTAATGTTCTCCTGTGTCTTTTTTTATTTTTGTTGGTTTTGAGTCTGTTTTGTCAGAAACTAGGATTGCAACCTTTGCTTTTTTCTGTTTTCCATTTGCTTGGTAAATTTTCCTCCATCCCTTTATTTTGAGCCTAGATGTGTCTTTGCATGTGAGATGGGTCTCTTGAAAACAGCATACTAATGAGTCTTGGTTCTTTATCCAGTTTGCCATTCTGTGTCTTTTAATTGGGGCATTTAGCCCATTTACATTTAAGGTTAGTATTGTTATGTGTTGATTTGAGCCTGTCATCGTGATGCTAGCTGGTTATTTTGCAGGCTTGTTCATGTAGCTGCTTCATAGTGTCACTGGCCTGTGTACTTCAGTGTGTTTTTGTAGTGGCTGGTAACAGTTTTTCCTTTCCATATTTAGTGCTTCCTTCAAGAGCCCTTGCAAGGCAGTTCTAATGGTAACAAATTCCCTCAGCATTTGCTCATCTGAAAAGGATCTTATTTCCCCTTTGCTTACGAAGCTTAGTTTGGCCAGATATGAAATTCTGGGTTGGAAATTATTTTCTTTAAGAGTGTTAAATATTGGCTCCCAATCTCTTCTGGCTTGTTAGGGTTTCCACTGGTAGATCCACTGTTAGTCTGATGGGCTTCCCTTTGTAGGTGACCTGGCCTTTTTCTCTGGCTGCCCTTAACATTTTTTCTTTCATTTCAACCTTGGAGAATCTGATGATTATATGGCTTGGGATGATCTTCTCATGGAGTATCTTACTGAGGTTCTCTGGATTTCTTGAACTTGAATGTTGGCCTCTCTTACTAGGTTAGGGACGTTCTCCTGAATGATATCCTGAAGTATGTTTTCAACTTGGTTCCATTCTCCCTCTCTCTTTCAGGTACCCCAATCAGTTATAGATTCAGTCTCTTTACATTATCCCATATTTCTCAGATGTTTGGTTCATTCCATTTCAGTCTTTTTTTTTTTCTCTATTCTTGTGTGCCTGTCTTAATTCAGAAAGCCAGTCTTCAAGCTCTACATTCTTTCCTCTGCTTGATCTATTCTGTTATTAATATTTGTGACTGCATTGTGAAGTTGTTGTAGTGTGTTTTTCAACTCTAACAGGTCGACTATGTTCCTCTCGAAACTGGTTATTTTGGTTTTCAGCTCCTGTATTGTTTTTATCATAATCCTTTGCACTGGGCTACAACATGCTCCTTTAGCTCAGCAGAATTCATTATTATCCACATTCTGAAGCCTACTTCTGTCATTTCAGCCATCCCAGCCTCAGCCCAGTTCTGAGACCTTGCTGAAGAGACGTTACTGTCATTTGAAGGAGAAGGGGCACTCTGGATTTTTGAGTTTTCAGCATTTTTGCATTTATTCCCATCTTTGTGTGCTTATCTACCTTCATTCTTTGAGATTACTGACCTTTGGATGGGGATTTTGTGGTTTTGTTGTTGTTGTTGTTTTCTGTTTTTTTGTTGTTCTTCTTCTTCTTTTAATAGTCTGGCCACTCTTCCTAGGGCTGCTGCAGTTTGCTGAGGGTCTGCTCCAGACCGTAGCTGCCTCACTTCTTCCTGTCCCTGGAGGTATCATGCATGAAGGCTGAAAAGCAGCAAAGACGGCAGCCTGCCCCTTCCTCTGGAAGCTCCATCCCATGGGTGTACTGACCTATTGCTGGCCTGAACACACTTGTATGAGGTGGCTGGGGACCTTGGTTGGGAAGTCTTACTGCGTCAAGAGGAATGGGATCAGGTACCTACTTAAATAAGCAGTATGGCTACTTTTTGCAGAGAAGCTGTGCTGTGTCGGGTATCCCTTCAGACCCCAATCAGTTTGGGCTCCCCAAGGCCCACAGACTGGACTGGCTGAGAAGCCCCAGCCAAGATTGCTCCCTGCCCTGTCCCTCAGGCACTCATTCCAGAGAGTAATTAGAGCCCTATAGAGCACGGGCAGGGTGGCCATAGGTCCTGGCTGGGAGGACCCGCCCCATGAAGAGAAGTAGATCAGGGTCCTGCTTAAAAAAAACAGTCTGGCCACACCTCCCCAAAACAGTTGCCTCTGCCCCTGCTGTCTTGGAGTCTCCAAAGCCCATAGTCTGCAACAGCCGAGTCATCCAATCAACCCAGGTGGCGGCCCTCCCCTATCCCAGAGAGAGAGCAGAACTCTGTCCCTAATACGTGAGGGCAGAAGTGACTGGAGGGCCTGACTGGGAGGTCCCACCCAGTGAGGAGAAATGGATCAGGGGCTCTAATTAAGGAAGCAGTCTGGTCACAATGTGGCAAAGCCACTGTGGTGCGCTGCTGGGGGGACCCTTCCTCCTCCAGATTGTTTGGACCCTCCAAAGCCCACAGGCTGGAACAGCTGAGTCAACCTAACAGTAGAAATGGTGCCTGCCCCTCCCCAGAGGGGCTCCGGCCCATCTTAGGCAGGCTCCACCCTGTTGCCATTGGCTGGGTGGAATTCTAAGTCAGTGGGTCTTATCTTGTGAGGTGCCATGGAAGGAGGACCTACAGCATGACATTGCTTGACTTTCTGGATTCTACCCTCTTCCTCGGGGTATGTGTGGACCTCCTGCCTTGCCTGAGTTGCAGACACATTTGTTGGGGATCCTGGGGCTGCAGTATGTAAAGCTCCTGGGTCTCTGTGTGTGCCTGAGCAGCTGCTCTGCCAAGATTACACAGCTCTGTGTGTCAGCCCCAAGACCCTGGTGGCATGGGCTCATGAGGGAATCTCCTGATCCATGGGTTGCAAAGATTCATGGGAGAAGCACGGTTTCCCGGGGTCACATATTAATTCACCACTTCCCTTGGCTGGGGGTGGGGGTTTCCTTGGCTCCATGCAGCTGTCAGGTGGGCCATCACCCATGGGTTGTTCTCCATGAGTTGAGTTGTTTCCCTGATCAGTCCCAATGTGAATATTTCAGTTGACGATGCTGTATTCACTCACTCATTTTGTTTCCCTCTGTGAGTGCCATGGACTGCAGCTGCTTCTCAATTTTATTTTTTAACTGACACATAACAGATGTATATCTTTTCACCTCCACCAAATCTTTACCACTGGTCCCCTCCATTAGTGTCCTTGGTTAGTTACTTTATTACCTGCTCCTTGGAGTCAAAGCACTTCCATTTCTGAACCTTGGTTTTCTCATCTGTCAAATGGGCCTTGTAGCAGACACTAGAGCAGATACCACCTCAGTGCCTGCTGAAGCTCTGCTCTTCCAAGGGTGCCCTCTCCTGGCCACAGATGACTAGATGAGATGTGGCCACCTGATCTTTCATGAGCCAATCAGATTCTCTGATTAATCTTAAAACTAGGAGACACAAAATCTCCAGTGAGATTAGTAAGCCTGCAGCTGCCAGCCTTGAGGTCTGTTTTTATCCACGTGCAAGCTGGAAAGTTGGCAGTGGAAACCCATTTTCAGAGACAGGCTGGAGGAAAGAGCAGATTTGCAGGGAGGACATATAGCCCAGGGATGGAGAGAAAGAAAGGTGTGGCCCAATGGCTTTCCACTTCCCATGAGACAAAACCCAATTTCCTGCTTTTGTTTTCCATGACACTCCCTCATAACCTACTGAGACACCACCTTTCTTCAGCTAATTTAAGTAGGTTACTCTTCTTTGCAAAACAAATCAGTCTTGACTGGAACAGAGAAAACGGTTTATGAGGTCTTTGCAAGAATATTATAACGTAAAAATATGATTGTGAAGTAAATTGGAGATAAAAATATTTTATGGAAGTATTGTATAATTAAGTAACATTAACTATGAAATGTATCCTTCCTAGCACACACTAGGTGCACATACTAGGCTCATTATTGTTCCTGTACAGCCTCCCCCCTGCACAAATACTCTTCAGTGTTGTCACTTTACCTAGGATTCAATAGAAAGAGGGAGAAAAAGATTTACCTTGCCTGGCACACAATTGCTAACTTCAAATTTTATTACACATTCCCTTCTAAAAGGAGCCATTCTGCCACAGAGCATTTTTCCCTTTGCCTGACCCTGAGCAGACCCCAGACTCATGACCTTTTCTCTCCCTCCAGGATTCCCAGCTCCGCCCCAAACTTGCACCTCGAATCCATCCAGGTACTCAGCAGAAAAAGGGTCCTCCTATGGTACAGCTTAGACACTGAGACCCTAGCAATGGCTACTGGTGTTGAGGAGGCATTGTGCTGGCTTCCATGACCCAGCATGTCTGCCAGAAGGGTGAGGCTAGATGCAGCTCTGCCAAGAGGCCTGAAGGACAAAACAGCAGCTTCTATCAAGGACCAGGGACTAATTCAATCTCTTCTTGACAGATGCTTTGTGACGCTGATAGGCCTGGCCTCTCTCATTTCTCCCCCCCAACACTGCCCTCTCTTTCACCTCCTTCGCCTGTCTTAAAGACTCTTGACGATGTCATATCAGGCAAATGCTGAGTTGTCAGAGAAGGAGGTGGAGCCCTAACAGAACATTAAAACTAGTCACATTAAAACTGACAAAAGGGATGGAGATCTGAGGCCTGTTTTGTAAGGAGATGCATTCTGTCTCCAGTAAAGAAAAGAAGACTAGAAGGAAAGAGGGAGGGGAGAAGCAAAGAGAAATCCTTCTAATGTACCAGATGTGTCCTGACATGTCATATGTCTAGCTCTCCACAAAGCTCCAAGACAAATTGCATATGCCTGATGAACAGGAAGTGGGCATGGCTGTGAGTTTTGAAACTAGGGAAAGCTGCCAGCCTGCATCACAGTTAAACTAAAATGGTCCCTAAATGACTTTTGGTTGAACATGTTGGTTAACTTAATTTCACGCTCATATGCTACAGTTTTATAACACAGACTTCCAAATGATTACTTTATTGGCCCCAGGAGGCATGATGCACATAAGCTTTTAATTTGCTCAATATCATTGCAGTTTGTCTTAAATAGATAAATCACTGGTATCCACTGATGACCTTAGATTTCACCATCACCCAAGTTTCAAGTTTGAAATTCTAAAAATACTGCCAAGCTGAAGACATTGGAAGGTCATATGTTGGAACAGGAAATTTACAATAAAAGAAATACAAATTGCCAGCAAACATAGAAAAATATGTTCACAAAAATTGATGGTTAAGTAAATATAAGTTGAAAGGACAACAAAATATCATTTTCATTCAAAAAAAGTCTGATAATCCTTACTTTGGAAAAGATGGGAGGAAATAGGGACCCTGTTACACTGTTGCTGTGATTCTAAGTACAACCATTTTTAAACTGCCTTGGCTCAATCTATTCAAACTGGAAATGTGGTGCGTTTTGATTCAGATTTTGTAGTGCCATGAATTTTCCTACTGCTGTACTTGTATATGTTTGAATTCCATGGAGTGGTCAAAATACATGAATGGGATCTACATAGAGCAACATGAAATGGCTTCAGAAATACAGTGTGCATGAAAAAAAGTCTTTTAAAAAATGAATTTATAGCATAATTAAATTAATATAAATAAAAAGTACTCTAAACAACATTATATGCTTGGAGACATACATATATGGAAATGAAAAAAAGATGGATAGGAAGTGATTACATTCTATACAAGAGAGTGGATGTCCGTGGTGAGAATGATAGTGTTAAGAAGGGGGGATAAGTAAAAAACAATAATATCATTTTTAAAAAAATTAAGGAGAGGTGCTGTAAGGATAATAACTATATGGCCTTAATAACTAAGGAGCATGATTGATTCATTCCAATACAACTGAGGTCTGCAAAAAGAAAAATTAAAAGCGATAACCAAAAAAAGTCCCTAATTATTCTTGCCTAAGGAAATTAAAGTGTAAGCTCAAAAATGTTAACTGAGGCAATTTATTGTAATAGGAATAAATTGGAAGCATTCTAAATGCTCATTAGTATGTTTATTAATTTTAAAGATTAAATAAATTAGCTTACATCTATTCAAAATTCTATAATGTAGCTTTGACAAACAATGAGATAATAATATATGAACTAAATGAAATGTTCTTTAAGATGCATAAATTGTTAAAATGGTATGGTAGTACATGAGAAAAGGCAAACTCAGATAACCTGAGGCATGTATTCCCTTCCTTCTTTCAGTAGACCCAGCAAATTTGTGTTTACTTACTGGACAAATGGGCTATGGTACAGCTTGGTCCCTGAGACCCTAACAATGGCTACTGGTGTTGGGCAGGCATTGTACTGGCCGTCATGAACTAGGGTGTCTGCCAAAAGGCTGAGGCTGGATGCATCTCTGCCAAGAGGCCTGCAGGACAGGACAACAGCTTCCATCAAGGAAAGAAGGCCATTTATTCAACAAGGAAGGTCCCATTGTTACATGGTCACCTACATGCTTCCTGCCCCTGTTTCTCTATAAATATGGCAGCGTATTTTAGAAAGGGGCTTCCTTTCTAAGGTATTCTGAGTCCACGTATGTCTGAATGAGCATATGTGTAACTGGAATCTCAAAAAGGGAGAGGAAAAAATAGAGTAAATGTCTGAAAAGATGGTTGAGAACTTTCAAAAAATGATAAAAAGACATCAAACCACATCTTAAGAAACCCAAGCAGGATAAATTTTTCTACCACTCCCCCAACCCCTAAAAAAACTCACCTGAACATATCAAATTCAAACTGCTAAAAACCTGGGCTCATGCCTATGATCACAGCACTTTGTGAGGTCGAGGCAGTCAGATCTTTTGAGGTTAGGAATTCAAGACCAGCCTGGCCAACGTGGCGAAACCACCATCTCTATTAAAAATACAAAAGTTAGCCAGGCACAGTGGTGCGCGCCTGCAGTCCCAGCTACTCAGGAGGCTGAGGCAGCAGAATCGCTTGAACCTGAGAGGCAAAGGTTGCAGTGAGCCGAGATTGTGCCATTGCACTCCAGCCTGGGTGACAGAGTAAGACTCTGTCTCTAAAAAGAAAACAAACAACAACAAAAAGATAAAGAGAAAATCTTAAAGGCAGCAAGTGGTTGGGGAGTGGGACTATGTACAGAATATCAAAGATAAGACATATACCACACTTTTTCATCAGAAACTTTGCACACCAGACGACATGACATTTTGAAAATTAAAAAAAAAAAAAAAAGGAACTGTCAACCCAGAATTTCATTCCTAGAGAAAATATAAAAGAGAGAAGGCAGTCTGCTTTTGGCCATGATGGAGTAACACAGACAGAATATATGCTCCCACATTGAACATTAGGAAAACAAGTAAAATATATGGAAAAATAGTTTTCAGATGTTAGACAACATGTAGCATGAAACAGCGATTCTTGAAGAAAGGAAAACAAAAAGATGAGAACTGAGCAACTGTGTCAGCATATTGCAGGGAGGCAGTTTCCAGGTAATACAGCCGGGAGAGGGAACGCAAGGAAAGCCTAGCAGATTTGCTGAGTTGAGAAGAGAAAGTACAGAGTTGAGGAAGGCCAAGCCTGCAAGATTTTGTAAGCAGTCTACTAGAGAGAAGAGTAATGACCGAGAAACAGTTCTGGAGTTCTACAGAGAGGTCCTCTCACCTTTTTAGCTGAGTATTGATCTGTTCATGTGTGAGGAGAAACTAAGACTGGGAAGCAAATCGCCAGAAACTAACAGGCTGAAAAATTCCCGGATCTTACACAAGGCTGGAAACAGTGCATTTTCCCGGCAGCCAAGGTGAAAGTCATTGTAAAACAAAACGTATTCCCTCTACTCCTGAGGCAAGTATTGCCTTATTTATGGGACTAAACCAGCTAGATTGAAGGCTGCCCTGGGCCTGCTGTACACAAAGCAAGCCTCCAAAGGATGCAACTAATTCCAAGCAACCTAATTAAATATCAGGCAAAGGCCCATACTATGTAAAGGAATAAACAAAATGCACCAGCCAAAAACATAAAATTTACAATATTCAATTAAAAATTACTAAGCGTGCCAAGAAGTAGGAAGATATGATGAATTATCAGGAGAAAACCAGTCAATAGAAAGAAACAGAGATAACACAGATTATCTAATTAGCAGGCAAGGACATTGACACAGCCATTCTAAATACCTTGCATATGTTCAAGATGACAAAGAATGAAATAAACATAATGAAAAAAGAACTGGAAAATTTTGAAAAGACCCAAATTGAAATTTTAAAGATGAAAAAATATAATACCTGAACTGAAAAAATATACTGAATGAGATTAATGTCGACTATAATTTTAGGAAAAACAGATTAGTAAGCAGGTAGACGTAGCAATAGATAGTACCCTAAATAAAGAATAGAAAAAAGAAAAAATGAACAGAGTATCAGTGACCTCTAGGATAACACCAAGCAGTTGAAGATACACATAAATGGGTCCCAGGACTTGGGTTGCAGGACAGTTGGGGGAAGGGAGTGGAAGGGACAGAAAAAATATTTTTAAAGAAATCATGGCCAAAATTTCCCTCAGTTTGAAAACCCACAAATCTAAGAACCTAAAAGAACCCCAAGCAAAATAAATAAATAAATAATAAAATCATATTGCTGAAAACTAGTAACAAATAGAAAATTATTAAAGCAGCCATAACATTATATACACGATATTATAGACATTGCATACACAGGAACGAAGATAAGAATGATAGCATACTTCTCATCAGAAACTATGCAAGCCAGAAAACGAAGAGGCAACATTTTTACTTATTGAGGGGAAAGAAAAAAGAAAAGAAAAATTATTAACCTAGAACACTACACTCGGAGAAAATATCTTTCAAAAATGAATATAAAATCAAGAATTCTTCATACAAACTTTATCAGCATATTGGCTCAATAAGAAATGTTATGGGAAATTCCTCAGAAAAAAGAAAGGTTATAATATATCAAATGGAAATTTAGAATTAAAAACACTAAAGATAGTGAAGTATGTGGGTAAATATATTTTCTTATTTTTTAACCTCTTTAAAATATAATTGCTTAAGACAAAATGAATAACAATTTATTATATGATTTACAACATATTGGAAATAACACAAAACATAAAGGACAGCATGAAATGATATTGGAATGTGCGTTGTAAGTGTGATCCTAACACTACGCATGAAATGGTAAAATGTTATACGAAGGTAGGTTGGGATATGTTTAAGATATATATTATATGTCTTAGAACAATCACTTTAAAAAGTAATGCAAAGAGGAAGTCTAATAATCCAACAGGGAGAAAAAATGGAATTTTACATATATATGTGTATATATGTAAATAAGTATGTGTGTGTGTATGTGTGTGTGTCTATATATACACATATGTATTTAATATATACATATATTATACACTTATATACACACTTATATATTATACACACATATATACACATATATATATTTATGTATGTTAAGTCCACTAATCCAAAAGAAGAATAAAAAAGAAAAAAAAGGAAATATTTTAATGGATTTAATAATTTTAAAAATAGCAAGTGAGTAGATGTAAACCCAAACATTTCAATAATTACATTGACCATAAATGGCCTATATAGCGAGTCCTATGTAGGAACCCTATATAGGAACCAGGCCACACAGCAAGAGGTGAGTGGCAGGTAAGCAACCATTACCGCCTGAGCTCCACCTCCTGTCAGATCAGCCGCAGCATTAGAGTCTCAAAGGTGCACGAACCTTACTGTGAACTACACATGCAGGTGATCTAGGTCATGTGCACCTTCTGAGAATCTAGTTAATGCCTGATGATCTGAGGTGGAACAGTTTTATCCTGAAACCATCCCTTGCCCCTACCCATCTGTGAAAAAAAATTGTCTTCCATGAAACTAGTTCCTGGTGACAAAAAGACTGGGGACTGTTAGCCTATATAATATAATTAGGAGCCAAACTTCATCAGATTTGATTAACTATTAAGACACAATTATATGCTGTTTGCAAGAAACATACTCTTTTCAGAAATATAGATTTTGTTTTTTCAACTTTTAATTCAGGTTCAGGAGCTACATGTGAAGGTTTGTTACGTGGGTAAATTGCATGTCACTGGGGTTTGGTGTACAAATGATTGTGTCACCCAGATAAAAAGCATAGTACCCGATAAGTAGTTTTTCAACCCTCACCCTCTTCCCACCCTCACCCTCAAGTGTCTATTGTTTACCATTTTGTGCCCATGTGCACTCAGTGTTTAGGTCCTACTTATAAGTGAGAACGTGCAGTATTTGGTTTCTTACATGAACTTGCTTAAAATAATGGCCTCCAGCTTCATCCATATTGCTGCAAAACCCATGATTTCGTGGGGAGGGTTCATCTTTTTTCTGGCTGCAGTATTCTGTGGTATATGTACCACATTTTCTTTTTTGAGACAGAGTCTCGCTCTGTTGCCCAGGCTGGAGTGCAGTGGTGCGATCTCAGCTCACTGCAAGCTCTGCCTCCCGGGTTCACGCCATTCTCCTGCCTCAGCCTCCCGAGTACCTGGGACTACAGGCACCTGCCACCACGTCTGGCTAATCTTTTTGTATTTTTACTAGAGACGGGGTTCACCATGTTAGCCAGGATGATCTCAATCTCTCGACCTCATGATCCACCCATCTCTGCCTCCCAAAGTGCTGGGATTACAGGCATGAGCCACCGCACCCAGCCCACATTTTCTTTATTTCTTTATTCAGTCCACTGTTGATAGGCATCTAGGTTGATTCTATGTCTTTGCTATTGGGAATAGTGCTGCAAGGAACACACAACTACATGTGTCTTTCTGATAGAATGTTTATATTTCTTAGAGCATACACCCAGTAGTGGAATTGCTGGGTCAGATAGTAGCTCTGTTTTAAGTTATTTGAGAAATTTAAGTTTTAATTAAGGTTATAACTTAACCACGGGCACATAAGGTATCTCAAAGAGATGGTAGGCAGTTTCTTTTTTGTTTGTTTGTTTGTTTGTTTTTTAACAAGATTTAGAAACTCTCCAAAGTAGTTTCAAGACAGGAAATTAGAAACTATCCATGGGTGGGGGGGGGGAGTCTTAATAAATGACAAAGTCACACAAATGACAAACCAGAAAGGAATCATTCCTGAAACCAGGAATTGAAACCCATGCTGCCATTGCCAAAAGACAGAGCCTTAGCTACTGAGTTGCAGCACTGAGCAGTTTCTGTTGCCCTTCCCAGAAGTCTAGGGCAGCCAATGTCAAGCTTGCAGAGGCTTTTAACTGCTCAAGATAATTTTTAGGGCTAACTATGACATGAACCCCCAAATTCCTGTCCTCTGGATGGTGGAGACCAAGAGAAAGTACCTCCACATGGTCACAAGGTTAAGCTCTTAAGGATACAAAACAAGACA